TCACAACTTCACATCTCACCTTTGATTACATCTACTCAGCACCTATTTCGAAAACTAAATTTAATTTCTCCGTAGTACCTTTTGTACTCATTGTAAACCATAAATACCACAGTGGTTTTAGTTTTCTGTCTCACAGCCTGCTTTCTAAACTCCCTTTTGAAGACAATGCGATGCTCCTATACTTTAATGCCACTAGATTGCTTAGAGGAGTTATGCTTTAGTTCTTTCTAACAGTTTAAACCTTTGGAAAAATCTTCCCCGTGCCCCCAGGTGTGGGTTAGTCAACGTAAGCAGGATTTGTCACAAATATAACACCTTTCTCTGTGACCTCTGGACTCGACTCTGGAACAATCACATTCTACCCAATTCTACCGAAAGTTATTTAGGAGAGAGCAAAAGGTGAAAAATCACGTATGGTCAATATTATCCTCAAAAATCCCTCAGGGACGGGCCATGTGGGGAACATACCATCTCTCCATGTCCAGCGCACAGGCTCCCCAGCGTTGGAGCATCTCCCTGTTTGCCCAGTGGACTTGCTATACAAACACCTTATTTGGTGAAATGCTCTCCCCAGGAAAAGCATGGGGAACCAAGACCTACAAAGAAACCCACAAATTCATTTTGGAGGCTTGCGTTATCAGTATAGTCGTTTCTCTCTCCAGCCAATTGTTTTTATCCACATGGCTTGCATATATGTTAAACGACCAGGCGATGCAACTCCGCTGAAATTCTTTCTCAAAGATTTGTAGAGGCCACCCACATTGATATTTATGCCTGTCTTCAAGCTTCTTGGGTTGGAGAACTGGGCTCCTTTTTGCATTAAGCTAGTCTCCCATTCAGTGCTCAGGGAGTCTCCAACAACTGTCTGGGTTAAATGCAGTGTCCAGTTCTGCTTTGAGAGAGCAAGTGGGATTCTCTGAATGCAGTGAAAGTGGGAGACTTAAGCCCTCTGTTGCCAATAACCATTATTTTGTACAATCTTCTGTAAATATGTGTTCATCTTGGAAGTGTTATGATTTGAAGACCCAAGGATGTGGTCACAGAAGCTGTGTAACCTCAGAGGCTTTTGTGTAAATCCGTCATTCTCTGTTTTGTTTGCTCTCGGTTTAGTTGGTCTGTCATTGCTAACAAGGCTGGGTTGCAGGGTTGACTAGAAAGGATTAACAATGCCTTCCCTCCCAGACCCAGGCTACTTGGTGGGGCAAAGTGAGTTTTCACCATTTGTTATTGTTAGGCCAAAGATAATGTTCTGAGTTGTCATGTTTAGTTTAGTTGTCATATTTCTTTAGTCTCCCTTAGAACAGTTAATTTTTGTCTTACATGCTATGTTTTTGAAGAGTACAAAACAGGTCTTCCGTAGTGTCTCTCAATTTGGGTTTGTCTGATGTTTTTTCATGAGTGTGCATTCAGATCATACATTTTGGGCAGGAATACTACAGAAATGTTGGTGCCTCCTTCTTGGCGCATCGTCTTGGGAGTCCCGTGATATCAATTTGTCCCTTTATTGTTGATATTAACTCGGACCATTTGGTTAAAGTCACATCTGCCCGGTTTCTGCCCTGTAAAGTCCCTGTTTTCTCCTTTATTTTGTATCTTGTGTCTTTGTAAATATCCTGATACTCCTCAAACTTTCATACACTGGTTTTAGCATCCACTTACGGTTTTTGATTGATGATTATTATGATAGTTGACAAATGGTGATTTTCTAACTGCATTCCTTCTACATTTATTAGATGGCTTTCCACTATAAGAAAGAGCGTTCCTTTCTCCCCTATTTTTATCTACCTATTTATCTCTCTCTCACTATCTGTGTGTCTATCTATCTATCTATTTCAGTATGGACTCATGGATTCTTAAAATTTGGCGTTCACATTGGCTAGTTTTGACCAGAGGAGCTTTTTCAAGCTGGTACCTCTATCCTTGTGACATCTTCCATGATTTTTTGAGCACTTTCTTACTTTCTGGAATCACAAGGTGTTCCCGGCTCATCTTGTGCTTTCCTTACCCCAGCTCTGGAGTCAGCTGTTTCTCCAAGTAGCTCTAGTTCCATTTAGTGAAGAATGGTGTTCGGAAACCAAAATATGGGTGCTGGGTGATCATTATGATTGGGGTTTCATTGTTTCTGGGCACTCTCTGTCAACAGAGCTAGCAAATGTAAATATGTACATATGAACACACACACACACACACACACACACACAATATCATCAACACATCTCCATCTAGTTCTCTATTCATCCTTCTGTATGTTTTGAAAACTATAAACTATGCCTATATCAATACCTCCAGTTTCATTCCAAGTCTGAATAGTTAATTTTATCCTTTCTCTTTAAGTATTTGCAATTCCTAAAGAGTCCCTTCTGAAATATTGATGAATGTGCTCTTTCCCTTTGAATCAAATCTCTGATCTTTGCTTAGATGTTATCAGTGAGTTAAAAACTGTTGATGAGGTGCTGGCCCCGTGGCCGAGTGGTTAAGTTCGTGCGCTCCGCTGCAGGCGGCCCAGTGTTTCGTTGGTTCGAATCCTGGGCGCGGACATGGCACTGCTCATCAAACCACGCTGAGGCAGCGTCCCACATGCCACAACTAGAAGGACCCACAACAAAGAATATACAACTATGTACTGGGGGGCTTTGGGGAGAAAAAGGAAAAATAAAATCTTAAAAAAAAAAATTGTTGATGAAAGTTGTTTAAAATATTTCTATATTATTTTCGGTTTGATTTTGGAGACTAATAGCCTATAAACTAGGTGTTTTGTAGTTATACTTTCATTTTCATTATGGGGTAAGACGGTCTCAATATTTCTTGTGTAACTATACACAGGAAACTTATTATTGCTAAACAGGCACACATATGCACAAGCCACTTTTGGGTAATGTTAGAAATAAACACATGAGGCTCTACTGCTGTCCTCTTTAGTGACTGATACCCATTGACCACGTTTAACAGAGGAGAGTGAAGAATTCTGTCACAGTTATCCACTTAAGAAGTGAAAAGTATTTGCGTTAATTTGACATCTCTAACTAATTACCTCAGTTACCCAAATAATCTTTTTTGATGGAAGAGAGTTGGTATAGTTCTGGCTGTGTTGAGAAGACTTATTCTTAGCTGCAAAACTAAGCAGATCTTAAAGACCAGTTATTGGTGATAGACTTCAACTCTCCATTTCCAGAGGCAGAGATCAGAGCTTCATCATATGTACCAGTTTCCATCAGCCGCCTGTGTTGTTACCTGGATTATGATGTGGAAGGTTCTGAGACCATGTCTGGATTAAGTGGGGACGAGTGTGGTGAACATTGAGCGATATTTGCCACAGGCACAAGAGAGGAGGGGGTGACCTTTTGGCTGTGTATTTGCTAGCCCCAGACGGACTCACTTCGGTGATGTTTTTGGAATGCCTGCATTATCATTTGGAAGTAATGACTCTCCTTGCCTTGGTGTAGTGTGTACTCAATAGTAATGTATCAGTCGGTCTTTTTGGTCTTCAGATGTGAAATAAAGTGAACACCTTTATAGTATCTTGGTTTTTTTCCTCCTCCTACCTCTCTATTTGAGCATTCTTATCACTTCCATCTAATAGCCTATACTACAGCAATAGAAGATCCTGGCAAAACTGCATAATGGTCTTCTAAAATGTAGCTGCTTTCGGTAGTATTAGAAGGTGCATGTTAAGGTGGAAAGAGCCCTGAAATTTAAATCAGGAGACCCAGGTTTAGGTTTCTACCCAGTTACTCACTCTACGGTCTTAGTATCCTAAATGCTGAGCCTTGATTTCTTCATCTCTAAAGTGGGACAAGCATAACCATCTATCTCCCCTACCTGTCACGCTGTCTGGGTGGATCAAGAAGATAACGTAGGTCAAAGGTTTTTTGCTATTAAGTGTGAATATGAAGAATTGGTATTTCAAATTAAAATTTTGGTATCTGATGCCAGAACTTAATACCAAAGCTAAATATAGAAGTCAGGAAAATACTCCTGAGATCTGTTTTCCTCTTCTTATATGTTTCAGCAAGAGTATAATGCTGCTATGGGATTATTGAGAAAACTCTGAACTATTTCAGGGAGACTTACTTCCCAGAATTAATAATGTGACCAACTGAAACCAAATATTCCCTCTTTACTCCCTGGTTATCTTTAAAAAAAATGTGCATTATGTATTAATTTCTTTCTAATGACTGTACTGATGTATTTATTACTATTGTTGTTACTTTCTTCTTACTATTTTGCTATTAAAACTAACAAACCAGCTTTTCAGAAAAAACCCAAACAACTAGCTTTTCAGTGAACATCTTTGTAACAGACATCACTATGCATCAGCCACAAACATGCAAGTTAGGTGAAGAATGGAACATATGTCATGATGCAATTTGTTTATTTTAAAGGCGTTTATATATATTAGTCTTTTCGTAGGAAAAATGCTCTGAGCTAATCAGCATTTTATAGCTATTATAATTGTTTTGTGCAGTGGGATTATAGGGAAGACTTGACATTTTTAAAGTCACGTTTCTGTAATGTTGGATTCTCCAAAGAAAAGAAGAGTATTATTATTATTTTTTCTTTGAGGAGGATTAGCCCTGAGCTAACATCTGCTGCCAATCCTCCTCTTTTTGCTGAGGAAGACTGGCCCTGAGCTAACATCCGTGCCCATCTTCCTCTACTTTATATGTGGGATGCCTGCCACAGCATGGCCTGTTGGGGGTGCCATGTCCGCACCCGGGATCTGAACCAGCCAACCCTGGGCCAAAGCGGAATGTGCACACTTAAGTGCTGCGCCACTGGGCCAGCCCTGAGTAGTATTATTTTTTTATTAAGTTTATGATAGTTTACAATCTTGTGAAATTTCAGTTGTACATTATTGTCTGTCAGTCGTGTTGTAGGTGCACCCCTTCCCCCTTTGTGCCCACCACTGCTTTCCCCTGGTAGCCACTAATCTGTTCTCTTTGTCCACATGTTTAAATTCCTCATATGAGTGGAGTCATACAGAGATTGTCCTTTTCTATCTGGCTTCTTTCACTGCCGGCCCCGAGTATTATTTTCATAATCCAGAAAACAGTAAAGATGAAAAATGTGATGTTAGAAGTTTCTTTTGAATTTTAAACATCACCAAGCTGACTCCTGGTTGTGTGTTGCCTTTGAGAGATCACTTGACATTCTCATTTCTAAAAGCTTGTAGCATATGGCCCCAGGTCTGGAAATGTGTGGACAGCTCATGCTGAAACCCTGGAATCAGGAGGATGGATACGGCTCTCTGGCAGAGTCCCCCCTCCCATTCTCAGCCTAAGTTCATCAGAGTTCACTTCACGTTGACGCTGTATATTTTTGTGGGAGTTCTGGCTCCACGGGAGTTTTAAATCTATCCCTCGTTGTCCTCCCTTAATAAAAAGATTTAATTAGATCATCCACAAAGTGTTTAAAACTCAAGAATAAATCAGAAATGACTGGTGTCCCCATTACATTTTTCAGATAAAGATTAGGTCAAAAAACGAAATCTTCGGTAATTTCCCAAGGACAACAAAACAAAACAAGAAAGCCTTGACAACAGTCCAGATAAGATGCATTTTATTTTAAGTCATCTTCCTTACACATGATATCCACACTCTTATCTTTAAGTATGGGAGTTTTGAGTACAATAACTCATATCTGTCTTTTAAAAAATTAAGTTTTTGTCTTCCCGTCTGTTACTATAAGACAAAAAGAGCCAGATGAACTTTTATCGAATTTGGAGGGTATGTTTGGGATGGTCTCACTTAATTTATAAACTGTGAAGTGAATGGAAAATGAGCTTTGTGGGAGAGGCACTAAGGGAGCTCTTCCAAGCACTAGGTCGACGTCATTTTGGAAACGAACACTGAACACAGTGCCTATAGGTTAGGGTGCTGTGAACAGAAGGAGGGAGTATTGAATTAGGAATTGTCAGTGGGAATGGCAAATGGGAAGACCCAAGCGCTTTTGGCATCAGCGAGCACTGATTTGCAATTATGCCACTTTCGCTGGGAACTCTGGGTACCCCAGGGTGGAAGCTGCCGCAGCACGATCTCTGATGATGATGATGAGTGATTCCCATGTGCCTCCCACGGGAGGGCAGCTGGTCTGGAGTTCGTCTGCCTCTGCCACGCCGCTCCAAGGAGACCGTTGCCTTTTCCCGTCTTTGTCTATTTTGATAGTCATTTGAACTGCCACGAGTGTGGGTCCCACCCCTTTTCTCCTGAGGGTGGCACTCCCTGCTGCCTTTTTGGCTCTTTGGATTCTCTTCGTTTCCATCTTTCATCACTTCCTCTTTTCCTGCTCATCCTCGTGAGTCATTTGACAGCTCTGGGGATCAGGAGAGCTGTAAGCCTGACAGTGTTTGGTTTCATAGCCACTCCTCCACCTCCCTAAAGGGACATTCCAGTCTATTTTAAAAAGAGCTAAATATATTTATTTTTTGTTTTTCAGTATTTGGAGAAACTCTAGGGTGGAACAAAATCTGTGCTGACATTCCCTAATCAAAGACAGTTTTTGTTCTTTTCATAGAATGACTGTTGCTAGGAAATTTACATTTTTAGGCCCATTGATTTGAGAATTCATTAGCCAGACACATGCAACTCATATTCAAAAAATTATTAGGTGTTTGTTTAAAAAATTGGGAGGGGGATAAATTATACAGAGTCATCTCTGGTTGTGGCTTGTTGAAAATCTTCATCTTGCGTGAGTTCTTAGGATGAAGAAAAACCTCCAGCAGGCATACTGGATGTGCATTGAGTTCTCCCTAATATGGGATAGGTCAGGAGCCATAGAGAGCTAACATGTGGCCCCTGGCTTTACGGAGTTTATATGTAAGACCTATGTAGCGGGACGATGATTGACACTAGGGTCACAGGAAAAGCAGTCAGTATATAGAGTGGTTAAGAGTCATGGACTCTGGAATCAGACCAGATTCTGAATTCCGGTTCTATCATTTGCTAGCCTCACAGCCTTAGACAAGCGTCTTAGCGTCTCTGAGCACTGCTTTCTTCTGTAAAATATGGTCACCATTACATATATCATAAGGTTGCTGTAATAAAGAAAATAATGCATGTGTCTGAATACTGTAAATTTGGCCCCAGGATAAATGCTCACCAGGTGGTTAGCTGTGCTGTGTTGTTTCCTGTAGTTCTGTGGAGGCTGGGCTCGGGGGACCTTCCAGCCAGACAGGGCTTTGATGACAGTTGTATGGCACAGTTTCATAAACCTGAAATCACAGCTGTGAATAGACCATTTTAATTTGTTTTAGATTTCTTTTTAAAATTAGTGACCTTTTGAATCTGGATTGAGAAAGACCTGCCACTTCCTAAGGCCATATAAATCACAATAATTGATCAATCAGGAGTAATTCTTAATTTACATCTTAGTGTGAACAAGATGGTAATTCATTGCATATGTGCTGACTTAAGTGTTCTAAAAATAAAGTAAAACAATTGTGTGTTCACTATCAGCTATTTTTAAAGGGCCAGAACGGATTAAGATTTCCATTTTTATACTGACTCATGAGGAATATTGGGATTGTCTTAAAATTATGAAGAGTTTGTGTTTCTTTGACAAAATCTGCCCTTAAGATTGCAGGTTACATTTAATTTATTTTTAGGGTAACATTTTTATATCTTGATGTTAATATAATAGACCAATGTAGAAAAATTGAAAAATACAATAAAGTATCAAGATGAAAATAGAAACCCTTACAGATAGTTTTTTGTCAAGATAATTCTTACTATCAGTTTGCTCAATCAGAAACAGACACAATGGCCTGTGTGCTGGAATCTGATGAGGCATGGAAATTAGATTTGGAACGCATAATATTTTTATTACTTGTTCTAAACTCTAGCTTCAATGAAATGGGAGGAGCTCAAGTAAAATAGGATTAAGTATGATTTTGTTGCAGCAGTGTTATTGGATTTTTAATGCTTTTATCATTCTTTGAACTATCAAAGAGTCTGTGTGCTTATAAGAACCTCAGGTGAGGTGGTAGTAACATATGTTGGCGACTTGGAATAGAAGTGCTGGTTATAAAGGAACTGTAGAAGAGAGAGAATCAAGCAAGAAAAAAAATTCATCATGTTTTTATTGCAAGCCTGAAGAATCTTAATAACTGTCACTGGTGCAACATCTTAATTTTCTTTGGTGATTAAAAGGTAAGTTTGAAAACTAGAAAGAACTCCATTCTTCTTTCCTTCTAAAGGACTGATGATGATGGTAACAAAGGTGGTGAGGTTTGTAATTTCTCCATTCTGCTGCCCTAATCAGCATCTGCTATCTAGGGGACTAATTCCGTTTGGTGTATGAAACAGCAGAGGGAAACTGATCAGGCAGAGGAAGGACATGAAACGCTACTTTTGGCGGAATCATTTTCAGAAAATCGTTACCTTACCTTGGTATTTATGTTTTAATCAAGTTCTAAACTACACTTTGTTTTATTAGCCACAGTCCTTTAATTTGCTGTGTTTTGACAAATCAGACTTAGATTGCTTAGAGTTAAAAAGCTTGTAAAAACTCTGTGTATATGTATGACTTTATATATGAATCTGTGAGTGAAGGGTACACCTGAATACATAAGCACTTCATTGACTTCACATTAGTAATTTTCGAGATTTCACCTTTATTTTGTATGAGTCACTCAATGGAGACCCAGGACAAATTGGATGAAGGTCTAAGCTGTTTTGAATATAGTCCCTGTTTAATAACCTTTGTTTATACTTTGTAAGAAATGAAAGGAGAATCCTTTGGGCAAGTAGTGTTTTTGTAAAGTGGAGGCGAGGAAATTGTTGTTTTGACAAGGTGACTTAATTCCTACGAAGTCTATTCATAGGTCAGTTTAGGTTAATTTGCTTGATGTGTTAAAATCTTATATGTGAACTGCAGAGAGTCTCACCTGCTGAATTTATTAGATTTAATAGAACATACGGGGAATTATAGTAATTCAGAGAGAAGAGGACAAGGAAGGAAGTTGCTGTTTCTATTGAAATGATATTTTCCTTTCTCCTTCAGTTTGTTTGAAAGTTAAGTCCATGTAAGGTTGTTTTTTCCCATAATTAGAACATCGAAGGCCTTCAGCATGAGCTGTTTGTGGCCTTTTGTTAAATTGATCCCAGTTCTAAATGATCTTTTACAACTTAAAGTAGTAGAGATTTAAGAAGAGAAAAATTCAATATGCTTCCTTTCATTCTTACTCTAGTCTTGATTAAGCATGATGCATGTGAGAAATATAAGCCAGAAGGGTGTAAAAATACGTCATATCATCTCTCAGGAGCACTCACCATTAATCTGTTTTAAGATTGTGCAAGAGAGGAAATTAGTCCTTTTGATATACCTTGGGGCAGGAGAGAGAATCCACCCTCATCCTCAGAAAATCAGAGTGAGGGCCTGTGGGTTAATCCTGTTTACCATTTTGCACTGATCAGCAAACCTGAACAAGTGTTTTTCAAACTTGATCAGTCATATACCCCCTGCTCAGTTTTTGCCACATATGCATCAGCTGTTTTGTTAAATACTTAGCATTTTTCTTACAGTACTTTTGTTTAACTTAAATTTACTTTAAAAGAAAACTGCAGGTCATCATTGTAAGTGGAAAGCCATTTTCATCTGCTATAAATAGAAGATAAAGGTAGAAATAAATAGAATAAAGGCATAGTGTTGGTAAATTTCAGCTAGCTACTGTTGCTTACTCAAGACTTTGATGCTGAGCCTTGCTTTCTCTTTAAGAAATTATTCTAAGGGATTAGAAGTAAGGATTGTGATTGGGAGCAGGCCCCAGGAGAACTTTTAGGGTTCTGGTCCCATTCTGTTCTTCGTCTGGGTAATGGGAATGAGTGTGCTCATGCTGTGAAGATGCATCAAGATGCACAGTTAAGATTTGTTCACTTCCTGTAGGTATGTTACACATAAAGTTTTGTTGTTGAAAAGTGTTACAAACATTTAGGCCCAAACTGAATCTGTCCCCTAGATGGAATCAGACTGGTTGGAGATTGAAGAGGGAATGGCTTGCTCATCATGTCAGTCAAGGTCCTTTAATAGCACAGCCCTGAGCCACCCACAATAGTATCAAGTGCTCCTGACTTCATCTTGCCTACTGCGGCCGTTTGCCAGTCTGAGCTAAAGGCTTTGGGTAGCCAGTTTGGTTTGGTTGGTTGAGGAATGAAGGAGCTTTTAGAGATTAGAACCCACTACGGAGAGGACTAACTCCATCATTGTTAAAGAATTTCAGAGGCAAAAAGGTAAATATTGGTGTCATAGGCCAGAAATCAGGGAATTCATCCTTGATAAACAAAGTTTTATATGTTTTTGAAAAACTATACTGTCATTATCCTTTCCAGTTGTAGCTGTTATAAGTATGCATATTTGTCTATTGATGCAACCCAAACATAGATAGAAGAACGGCTCAAACAGTTCCTCTTGCTAGACTGCTCTTCGAAAGAGCATTTTGCAAACGTTTTTGGTACTGACCTGCAGTAAGAAATATGTTTTATTTACAGCCCAGCGCAGCACTCCCAAATGTGAGTGGGTCCTGGTATATATGTATAAAAATTGAAGAAAGGTTCATGAGAGACGTTTCTCCTTACTACGTGCAGCACTGTCTGGCATTTCTATTTTATTTGTTTCTTTTAATACTCTTTGCCACCCAGTAAGTTGATTTCATGGCTCACTAAAGGGCAGTAGCCAACAGTTTGAAAACGTCCTGCATTAAAGGACAAGCTGTACCTTCTGTGTTGACCACAGATGTCTTTTTCTGATATTAAACCTTGGAGTCTGTTGGATCTGCTGATGGCACATCTAAGTCCCAGCCTCTTGCCAAAAGAATGGAGTCAGATCTGATATTAGAATATATGACTGTATTTGCAAAAATAAGTCCTCCTACCTGTCACCTTTCCACTTAGGAACTTCTTGCCTGAGGACGGCGTCAGATAGCGGTCACTTGTGTCGTAATGGACTTACCACAAGGCACCTAGGTCCATCCTTTGGCATCTAATTTGTTTCTAAGTGTGGCGCTCTGGGGTACAGGGCAATTTCTTCTCTCATCGAGGAGATTCGTATCAGCCTGATGTTTGAAGTGGATGTTTCATGTGGCATATGTTGTGATTGCTTTCCAGAGTCTGTGGGGAAGTTTGTAAGTTCTACCCACATAGGCTTCTGAATCCAGCATCCCTTGAACCCTGCTGGCCAGGTGTGCCTTTGAGGTTTGCAGTTCGTTAGGGAAGGACCACACATCCGAGAGCAGGGCCACATGCATTGAACTCTGTATTTGCAGTGTTCCCAGGACCCAGCGCTGGGCCTGTGTGGAGTATTCGATCAGTAAATATCTGTTGCCTGACTTGGAAATAGATTTTCAAGTCACATGATCAACTTCTGAGGATAAAACTGCGGGAGGTCTAACATTAGAAGCATTAAAAGCAGGTGACAGTATGTCCTGAGGTCTTGGGGACATTTGATACTTTGACAACACCTCCTGCAGACAGGTGGAATCTGCCAGCTGTCTGTACAGAAATAGCAGGGCCTTAAAATAGCCATCTGTGCCAGTGTCAGGGGGAATTTCGGAGCAGAGAGTTCCTTTATTTGGAAGCAAGGGAGTAAAGGGGCCTGCCAGAGAGAAAGCCTGAGGAAGCCCTAATTTTGGTTTATTTTAGAAAAAAGATAAATATAATGGTATCATAAGAAAATCAGGAATTCAATTTTTGATATACCACATTGGGTTTTATAAACTAAACTTAAAAAAATCTGCGTTTATGAATTCCAATCTTTATATTTTAAGTAAACATTTTTCTTGGTCATATTTAGCAATAAGATTTAGGAAATCATGTTATCTCCGGTTAACTCACTTTATGTGAAACAGAGCATACGTTTCCTCTAGCAGTGGCGCTTTTTTGCTTGTGAAGCTGCAGGCTTTGCCACCCTATTTGGAAAATATTTAATGTTGGTCACCTTTGTCTTCTCCTGTCTCGTTGACCTTGGTCTTGTCTTCCTGTAGGACCCCGCTTTGGCAACATAAAATCAATAACAACTAAGTTCTGGAAGGTGCCTTCACTCACTTCTATGTGAGTGTGTCATATTCTTCAATGCAAGGTGAGCCAAGATTGTTGCCATGGAATTTACATACATTTTCCAGGAAATAATTCCTTTGCTCCAGTTGCCTGATTAAACCAGGTTGTTAGTGAAACGATAAACCTCAGTGGAGCTTTCTGAGGGCTTCCTTGGAGGGGAATGCAAATGAGAGCATTAAGCGAGGCCCTCGCGAAAGGCCTTCTCTGCTTCTCGCCCCCAAGACCACACCCTGGAGGGATTTGATGAGTTGGAGATGTCTAAAGCCTGTCATTGTAAACAGATTTATTGTACCTTTTTTACTGTTATCTTTCTGCCATAATTTTTGAGATTTGTGGTCTCTGCTGAACTAGAGGGAGAAGATGGCCAGTGAAAATAGATCAGTATCCTCATAGAATTAACATTAAGCTAAAAACAATGTAAATGTTAATAGCAATCAGGTAGAAACTACATAACAGATATTTCCTGATCTGTATTCTGATAACATTTGCTAACAGAAACTTTAAAACTTGAATTCGTGAGCTTTAGAATAGTGAGACTAACATAGAGCAACTGTCTTAATTTTCCCTTTAAACACGAGCCAAGAGAGGAAACTAAAATTGTCTAGAATTGGGCATTTGCTTGTGTGTTTATATGTCAGCCAGCTTAAAACTGAAGTGTTCCGCCTCGAAGGTGGAGGCAGCCTGGACTCACATTAAACAGTTTATTTTGAAAAAATAATTTTTTGCTTAAAGATTTCAAAAGGAGATAAAAACAACGCAGGTTCTCTCTCCTTTTGGGATTGTGGGATGGCAGAATTCATTCAAATGGATGTTTTAAAAAATAAGTGATATTTCTATTACGTAAGTTGAAAGAATCGTGGTAAACTCTGTGCATAATTAGCTACTTCTGTTAACATGTATCAGTGATTTTGGTTTTAATACAACATTTTGCTTCACTTGAGACCCAGACAAGAATGCACAGTAGTAATAATAGAATGCAATGTAGTGTTTGTATTTACTTTAGAGAAACTGCCATGAAATGTTGTTTAAGGACCTCCCATAAGTAACACTAGAATCTAAACCAGAATAACTCTAGAAGAATCCAAAAAAAAAAAAATATTTCAAGGGGGCCGGCCCAGTGGTACAGTGGCTAAGTTTGCATGCTCCACTTCGGCAGCCTTGGGTTTGCAGGTTCGGATCGTGGGCACAGCCCTAGCACCACTCATCAAGCCATGCTGTGGTGGCATCCCACATAAAGTAGAGGAAGATTGGCACAGGTGTTAGCTCAGGGACAATCTTCCTCACCAAAAAAAAAAATAATAATAATAAAATGTTTCAAGGAACTTTAAGAAAACAAAACAAAAAAACTAGGTTGTTTTATTAGTAATTTTTTTTCCTTTTTTCTAAATCAGTTTCCATTTATTTTCTCACACATACACCCCACATTTAATGGAGCATCCAAGTAAGGAGTAAAAGTTGGTAACTTCTGCTGGAAATGTGGCCATTGTCGTAATTGAGCAAAACATGTTGTTACTGCCCAAGCTCAATTCAAAAGTGGAAGGGGTGTGTCTGCCAGTATCCTGTTTCCTGGGCAGAAGTGGTTCTGCTTCTCTCTTCCTTCTTTTTTCCCTCCTTCCTCACTTCACCCCCGGCCACCTGAAGTTCAGTAGCGATGGAGGAAGAGAGTCCTGTAACAAGGATGCCAGATTTCGCTCCTTAAGAGCATTGACGTAAACTCTTGGCTTATAAATGGCCTGCCTTTTTTTCTTCCTTTCATTTTTCTTCCCTCATTTACCACACCAGACAGGAATGTCCTGGCCTTGTCAGAGACAGAATAGAACTGCAGTGGCATTGGCAGTGAAGGCGTGAAGCTAATTCTTGATGGTTTCATGTTACAGACTAGCTACGAGACGAAGCTAGAACTTGAGGTCTTTTAGACCATTAAGGAAACAGGTGCCATTTTGGTTTAATTTTCGAGAGTACTGAAAGTGATAGTAGACACATTGCTAAATGTCCCTGGTGTCTGGAGATTGGAAATAAGCTATTTCTTCCTGACATTGGGGTCGCCTGTATGTTTAATAAGCTGATCCGTGATCAGAGCCTAACGTGGGACCCTTCATTCCATCATAAGCTAATGAGATATTCAGTGTCACGAGCTGCCCACCTGGGGTGCAGACACCTGTCGTGACCCAGCAAAGGACTGTGATGCAGGTAGTGCAGACTTGAGGCCACTTTGTCCTATTTTACTTGTGGCATTTTCTCCATTCGTTTGGTTAAATTTTGTTTTGGGGCTGGAAGTGCTCATGGGGGAAAGGGAAGCTCCTGGCTTGTGAGTGTCCTTGTCAGAGAGTAACTGGATGGACACGGGGGAGAGAGTGTTGAACATCACAGGTGGGCCAGTTTGTGAGGTCCAGGTGAGTGCACACATATATGTCCCCAGGTGAAAAAGTCTTGGAACTAGTGCTGAGAAGATCAACCACTAGCCTGAGGCTGTTTTGCTAGCATGGTTAATCTTTGTTCCAGGGTTAACACAAATGCTCCTGTAGAACTTGCTTCCGTAAAATTCTACCACAATCACAGCATCAGGCCGCAGTATGTGTGGTGGATAAGGGTGAGCCAGCCTGGGCTTGAATCCCAGCTCTGATACTATTAGCTGTGTAGCCTTGGACAAGTTACTTCACTTCTCTCGGCCTTCATTTTCTCATCTGAAACATGAGTAGGATAGCATCTCTCAAAAGTTAGGTGTGCAGGTTGAATGAGTGAATATATCTCAAGATGTTAGAAGCTCTGAGAAGAGTTTAGTACATAGCAGGTACTCAGTGACATTATTTTTATTACATCATTCTTATTGATAGTTTCCCTTTGTTGAGCACCTGCTGTATGTCAGCCAGTGAGCTTGGTTATCCAAATGTGTTTCATTTCATTCTTCCCATAACTCTGCAGTAACGGATAGTCTTGTTCCTGTTTTACAATGGACACCGCTGAGGCTCAGGTTAAGTGTCTCATTGGAGGTCTCACAGCTGGCAGTTGAGGACAATGGGATCCCAATTTCCATGTGGCTCTGCATGCTTGCCTTTATGTCAAATTTCTGCCCAACCAGATGGCATGCCATGGAGAGACGTTGAAGCCTCATTAAATAAACAAGCATATTACAAAACTATATATATGTGAGAGAGAGGTATATACACACATAGATAATG